TATATATATATATATATATATATTTTTTTTTTTTTTTAATGCAGGTATGAATACTTCTATGGCCTCTTACGTGACTTTCCTGACCTAACATTTACAATCAATGGTGGTATTACTAGTGTTGATGAGGTGACCTGTTGTCATTATAATCTTTTTTTTTGTGTATTGAATCATAATATTCATATGAATTTCTAGGAATTTTCCAGGTCTAAAGCTGTTCTCCTCATAATCACTACATATTGTCCTGACTCCTGATATTTCTATTTTTGCTGGTGTATGTGCGGATTTTGATTGTAGGTCAGTGCAGCTCGAGAAGCTGGGGCTCATGGTGTTATGGTTGGACGTGCAGCATACAACAAGTAAGTTTCAAATACAATAGTTTCCACCTTTTGCCTGTTTGACGTATCAGGATTCTGCTTTTCTGAAAAAATATCCTAAAAGCTTATGGTGTTAGATGGGGACATTGAAATTGTATATTTATAACCATGCTTGTTGTTTGTATAAATTGATGTGGTAGTTTGGGTAACCATCGTTGATAATCTTAACAGCCCTTGGCATATTTTGGGACATGTTGATGCTACAATTTATGGTACACCAAGGTGTGGTCTTACACGTCGTCAGGTTCATTTACATAATATTTGGCTTTCCATGGATTCATCTGCACCAATTCTGAGTAAACTTTCACATTACTCTATCATTTTTGGTTTTACTTATTAATTTCTCATTTAATTAAGGTCCTTGAAAAATATCTAGCCTATGGGGACTCGGAGTTGGGAAAATATGGACATAAGCCAACTGTGCGGGATATTGTGAAGGTGGTGATAAATATAACCGTCTGTTTGTTGATTTTCTAATTTCTTCATACCATTTGCTGTAAATTTCTATGTAGTATTGAATAGATGATATATAAAGCCATATTCTTTTATGTAGATGTATCTTTAAGCTGTTTTACTAGTATGGTAGACACATTTTCAGTATTTTTGGGTATTTATAAAGCGAACATACTTGTTTGATTCCTTGCAGTCTAATGCATGAACTCTATTAATGGATTCCTATTTTATTTTAAAAGATTGGAGGTTTTTTGTCCCACCTCCTCCCTTTCATTTGCATTAAGCAAATTATATATCTATTAATGGCATTCAAATTTCTACCTCCAATTTGCTGCTATTATACATCAATTGTCTGTTTTGTTGCTGCAGCCTTTACTCCATCTTTTCCATTCGGAACCTGGGAATGGACTTTGGAAGCGCAAAGCTGATGCTGCTTTCAGAAATTGCACGGTAAGATTAGAGACTAAACTATCAACAGACTACGGGATTTACAATTATTTTAATCATCGATATCAAGAAAAGCTTATACATGTAGTCTTTTATATTTACCGTTCTTTTCCATGATTTCTATCTCATGGATGCTAAGGTGCAATGGTTCATGGCATGGTGATCTGGCATATATTATTATCATATATATGTCAACATCCATCTATCTTTTTTTAGCTGAACCCTTTTGCCCTATAGCTTACATGGAGTTGTCTCTATTTCTCTAGAAATTTGAAAATAATGTTTTTAATATGAAAGACTCATTAAGGATCCTTATTTGATACCAGCTACATTATTAGATTATAGATAGGATAGATTGCACCGAAGCAAAGTTGTGGAAATAAACTGGGAGGAAAGATGAGGCAGAGATTATCCATGGAATTAATGACTACTGTGGAGAGTGAGGATGACGCCAAAAGAAGAGTGTTTATTGGGATAATGTATTCTTCTATTCTGTCGTGGAAATTAGGGACGTACATTTACATGTACTAAGATAGCTAGTTCTTTCATTCCCTCGTTATTTGAAGTATTTAGGTCAAGCTTTTGTGTTACATAATTTGTTTACTATAATCTATCCATTTACCACTTTCAGTTGCTATATTAATTGATTTAAATGATAACTGGATTCTTGCATCTTGCAGACAATCGAATCATTTTTTGAAGAAACCCTTGTAGCAATTCCCGACTCAGTATTGGATTCGCCTGTTGCGGAACCACCACCCGGCCGTGGAGATCTTTTTGCTAACATACACAATTTATTGCCTCCTTCATACAGAAAAAGGGAAGAAGCAGTAACCATCTGTGCTTAGCTTCACGTGTGCCCTGCAAAACCAAGCTGTAGTCATTGCCTCTTTTATTTGTTTATTTATTTTTATTTGTAAAATGAAGTGATAGGTCTCATGTAACAGCTCATATTAATACAACATAAATGCATAAGCTATTTTTTGTAAGCAATTGATTTTGAATGTAATCCATTCGATGTAGAAGCCAGGAGCATAAAATAGTGGATTGAAATTCTATGTTGCGTTTGCTTTCACTCATGTTTGGGCCACGGAATCTTGTAATGGATGTTAAAACTATAATATAGAATATTGACAAAAAAAAAAAAAGAAGAAGAAAAACACTGCTAACAAGATTGTTGGGTGGCTCACATAACTCTGTATTAGATAAGCCCAAACCCTACACGCAAAATAGAAAAGCAGAAATTGAAAGAAATTTTAAAC